TTAAGTGAGCTAATGTTACATAGATTTGCATATTCTGTTTATTTTTCTTTCTTTCTTTCTTTTTTACTTCTCTTAGCCACAGAGGGGACAGGAGGAAACAGAGAGCCTTGCTCGCCACATCTCATCAGCACTCAGTGGAAATCCTGTGTTGGCCCTAAGAAAACTCACCAGCCACAGACTACGTGCTTTCGAGTTGACCTGAAGGACTGTAACAGTGGACCTTCTTAGTGACCTTCTTAGTGGTTGTCTGACTGCAAGCCCCAGCAGCCCCAGACAGTATGGCCAACAGTCAGGGATGTGGTCTGGAGAGCCACAGGTCCTCCAACCCTGGGCTAAAATTTTGTTTTCAGCTTTGTAAAGCCCTTCACTGTTTAAAATGTGTACACTGCAACTGCAGAAGGAAAGTTGCACAGCCTTAATGTTCAACTGTGTTTGCTTACAGCAACGGCCCACATTCGGTCAAGCGGCAGCCATCTCCTCAACTCCACTCCTATACTTGCAGTGGGGCAGGCCTAGGCACAGAGGAGAAAAGCACAAATACTGCTTCGCAGCAGCCTCAGTCCAGACCAAACGGACTGGTCCCTTGTTGACTTGCACACTTCCTTCCCTCAAAACACAGACTAGAAATACTAACTGGTAGCAACAGACTGGCTGGTGCTATTAAGAATGTGCTGGGAGGGACAGGGTAGAAGAGTTACTATGCCAATGTCCCCAAACGTGTACAGCAGCCTTCTCCAACCAGGTGCCCTCCATATGTTTCGAATTACAAGGCCCAGAATGTCTGACTGTTTGATATGCTGGCTTAATCTAATGGCAACCAAAGTCCAAAACTTTGGGCACTAGGTTGGAAGAGGCCATTATACAGAGCTCAATTTAGTTGAGGCTTTTCCTCTTCCTAACATAATTTAGTGGGAATTTATGCTGCACATGCATGTGAACAAATGGGGGGGGGGCGCAAAGGAACCGAGCTGAGGCCACAGAGGAAGTCTGTCCCCTTGAGCTTTCAAAGTCGACTGAGCCTCTCTAAAGCATCGTCCCATCCCCCCTTCTGTGCCCTGCCGTGCCAATGGGGTTAATGAAGATGTCCGTTCACTCACTGATCTCTATCCTCATCCACAGTGCCTGCCCCTTTGATATTGGGAGGAAGCCCCCTCCCCTTCCTCCATCCCCACTAAGCCACCTCCAGCCACAGGAGGCGGATTAACCCATTTTCTTTAATAACCACATTTGTCACCGTAAATGTGATTACAGTTTGCTCCCCAACTGGGTGCACAGTGACCGGTTGGGGAGGGGGGAGGGAGAGAGCATGTGCGGGAAGATGTGGGGGGGGGGGAGGAATGGACAGGTAATTACTCCTTCCCTCTCTGGGGACGGCCAGGCTGCCTACATCTCGTTAATGTGGTCACTTTATACACTCAGTTCTCATTTACTTCAAGAGCACACCCTGAGAAAACATTCCAACGCCAAGGGCTGTAGCTCAGGAAATATAAAGATGAAGCAAGATCGATTCAACTTCCCCTGCCCACAAGTACACACAACACAAAGAATTGAAACTCCATCTTCCACCCCAAACTGACAGATGTGAGACCTTGGTTGCTGTGAGGCTATTTGGTCATACCCATGGAAGGATGGTGCTTAAGGCACAAAAGCAGCAGTAGTTTGCATAGAATTAAGGAGAATTTCCTTTCAAGACACTTATGTATTTTGATGTGTAAGTTTCTAGTCCTTGTTGCTACAGAAAAAATGCAAGAAAGAGCAAAATGTGTTTTTGTTTGAGACACTTCCTAAAAGCAGTGGAACAGAAACATAGAAACAGAGTGAGTCAGAAAGGGTCTCCCGGGCCATCTAGTCTGACTTCCGGCACCAGCCGGCTCTGCTCACAACATGCCCACCGTGTGCGAGAGGCATATTCTCTCAAACTAGGTCCTTGGTCTTCCACATACCCAGCCCCAAGTCCCTGATCTACCATCTTCCATATGCCATTACAAGGGCTACATCCTACTGCTCTGTAGAAAAGCACATGTAGCCTCTGTGTACACAGGGATGAGCCGGCACAGTATACTAGCTCAGTGCTGAACTTTTACTAGCGTGGCACAGGTTCAAATCCCCACTTAGTCATAAAGCTCACTAGGGCCAACACCAGGTCTCAAGCTAACCTACATTATGGCAATTCACAATTCCCATAACATTCCAAATGTAATTCTTATTGATTCCAATTTTTGGTCTGTATTTACATTTAGACTCATTGGATAAGGCAATAATGGTAGGGAAAGTCAAAGGCAGAAGAAGAAAAGAAAGGCGGAATTGATTAATTCCATAAAGAAAGCTACAGCCCTGCATTTACAAGGGCTGAGCAGGATGGTCAAGGACAATCAAGAAATATACTTTAGAGGGAATTCACCATAAGTTAATACCGTGTAACAACTTAATGCTGTTTAACAACAACATCTTTACATTTGATTTTGCCATTCACAGTTGTAAGGCTTCCATATTTGGGAAAAATTCCTGTGAGAATTTGTAGTACATCAAGTATGTTCAGATAATACATACATGGACAGTAACTCATGCATGTGTTTTTAAAAAATCACAATGCTACAGTGCAGGAAGGACCCAGACATTTCAGCTCATTTAAGAACAGCAACTCAGATTACTACTAAACATACTGGTCCAGGATTTCCTATTACTCTACTGGGTTTAAATCCCAGCTCAGGCTCAGATTCACTGGTGGCATCTACAGGCATTCATTCATGGGGCAAGGGGATGTGACTCCGCCCCCCCCATGCCAGTCATGATGTCGTTCTGCTGCACATGCCCTACCTATGTCTAATTTCAGTTTCTGCCCACACTGGCAAGTCTCAGGACAGGGCAATATGTAGCTAACCTGGGAGCAGAGGATACCTTCACGTTTAACTCCCCCATGGACCACCTCCTTGTAAATCAAGGAGGTGGTCCCAGGCTGTCACATGACCAAGCTCCTCCATGCCAAAGTAGCCCCATTCTGAGGGCAGTAACAGCACCTCCTGGGCACGCCTGCCCTTCCTATCTCCACTGTGCAGTTCCCTGCAACATGGGCAGGGAAAGCCCAGCCAGGAGAGGTCAATTAATTCAACCCTGAGCTGAGTGTGTCTGCAATGCAAATGGTACAACAAGAACTTTGAAGGGATGCTGAAGCTGGCTTGATGGCAGGCCCAGGCAGGCCTCAGTTTGGTAGCGTGAGGGAGCTCCAGCCTCATAAAGCAAATGGGCAGTTACATGATAGACTCCCTCACTGACGGTGACTAGGGATAATACTGACTTGCTGTCCTGTTCCACTTGGCATGGGCCCTGGCTGAGCTGACTTGCATTTAGCAATAGAAACAGAGGTGGCAGAGAAGAACACAGAAACATCTCCCATCTGGGAAGTGGAGCAAAGGATGTTGCTTGTAAAGACAATCCCTGCCAATCCCAGAATTCCAAGAAACAATGTTCTCCTTCTGTCACTTGCTTTTTGTGCTTTAACACTCTCCCTCTCATAAACAAGCGTAGGATTGGGCTATTAATGCTAACTGATGAAAATAACTTAAAACCCAGTGCTTTGATACACAGAGAATAAGGGGAAATGGAGAGATCACTAACTATCACATTATGGGGACAGCTACTCCAAATTTCATCTGTGTTCGTGGTCATCCACAGGAAAGGATAAGGAGCTGGCAACTGACCCTCAGTGAATTAGCCATAATCTCCAGACTGTTTCGACTCTCTTCCTTGTTGAACCTAAGATATGAGGCAAAATGTGAATCCGCTATTCTGCCTTTTAATTTTGTGAGAAGCTGGCTTGCTCCTACTTCTGAGTGCTTTTAGCCAGTGAATGAAGTTACACCAATCTGGGCTGTTAACCCTTCTGGTATGTTAAGCTTTTCAGGGATCTTTCCTTTTAGGAAGTAGTTGTGGATTCAAAACACAACAATTTAGAAATCTGGAACTTTCCTTTAGTTGGTTTTGGACAGCAGTTTGTTTACCCAAGCAAAAGGATAACAGCAAAGACAAGGGCTCATGATCTTCCTAACTCTTGTTAATTTTATTTTTTCTGAGTTGATAAAGATTTTAAAAATTACTGTGACAATTTGCACAAATATACTTAATCATCATTATACAAATATTGTAGAAGGCAGGGCTATGGCTGAGAAAATGTGGGTTAAGTAAATGCTGCAAAGTAGCCCAGTGTTGTTATTCATATTATGCTGTGTGCATTATACCTCCTTACTAAAGTCCATGTCACAGGTGTTTTAGGGAAATGCAGAAGGAGCTTCAAATAAAGAAGTACAATTTATTAAGAGTTACAATTGGTTGCTGAATAGGTTGACTGGGTTCATACAACTATGGCAAGGTGCAGTGGCTTCGAGTGCTGTCCGGATCCAGGGCAGTGTTGCCAGGATGTCTTACGTTTGGCTTATAAATAACTCTTAAGAAATCACAGCTAGTTGTTAGGTTTGCATAACCCTCTGTGGCTTGCCCTGACAGCCAAAACCACAGGGGGCAAGACCCACAATTAACTAGCTGCTTGGCACGAATGAGACAATCCCCATGGCTCCAGGAGAGTGTCAGCAACAGCTGGCAACAAAATAGCCACTCTCACTTATGGGTGGTTGTCAGTGGCTTCCCCACTGACTTGTGCCACCCCCTCAAGCCCACTGGTAGTGCCAATGTGCAGCACATACCTGCCCCTCAAGCAGCAAAGATAGCACTGGGTTGTCCCCTCCCCACCAAAGCTCACCACTGCAGCCACGGACCACAGCAAGCATGGGGCACATCCTCTTGGGTCTACTGGAATACTGGTTTCATTTTATTTATTTATTTATTTTTCAATTTATATCCTGCCTTTTTCCTACAAAGGGCTCAAGGCAGCTTATATCATTCTCCTCCTCCATCTTATTCCCCACAACAACAACCCTGTGAGGTAGGTTGGGCTGAGAGTCTGTGACTGGCCCAGAGTCACCCAGTTGGCTCCATGGCCGAGCGGGGACTAGAACCCAGATCGCCTGAGTCCCAGTCCCACGCTCTTAACCACTACACCACACTGGTTGGCAGGTCAGTGATGGGAAGAGGGGGAAGGCCATGCCCCAGCATCCCCATTTGTTGGGCAGAATGGGGGGCCCAGGCTACTTTAAGCCCAGGGCAGCTACACAGCCCATCTATCAGACACACAGTCACACACCCATATACACACACAGAACCTGCCATTTTTAGCTCTGGCAAGAGGCCCTGGCCTAGGGGAACCTCCCCATCTCTTTTAGTGCTGACCATGTAGCTGGAACAGCATGCCACAGCTCAACAGAAGCTCAGGTTTTCTCATGTACTGTAGAAATAAAAGGAACCTTTTGTGATGCTTGAACCTATTGTGCATTGCCTAAAGGGCAAAGCCTAGCAGAGGGCTTCAAATAAAGCAAGTCACCTCCCCCACTCCCATTCAACATGCTTCTTCCTGGAAAGAACGGCTGTGGGTAGAAGGACCTTGTCTCTGGATGTACCTCTCTCAGCAGCCTTCGTACCCAAGTTACCAAATCTACCAGAAATAATAGAGGCTATCTTCTCTGATGCTATCAGGGCTTTTTAATAATACTTATACAAAGAAAAAGATGCAGTTCCAAAAGAACACTGTTGTAGCCCAACATTTGAAAGTTGTATTGTTAGTGAAAAAGTGTCTGATAATGTAAAAAATAAAGTGGGTAGTCTAAGTTCCTCTTGAACCCTACACAGATGAAGCATTTTTACTTATCCTTCTACTAAAAAAAGGCATTACCTGCAAAATGCACTGCTAGAGCTTTCTTCCTCAGCCTGGTGCCCTTCAGATGTCTTGGAACTCAGTTCCCATCAGCCCAAACTAGTATGCTAAGTGCTGGCCCTGAATACTGATTGCTGCCCAAAACATGCAGAGAGCATCAAACTGGGGGAAATTGTTCTAAAGCACATTCACCAATGTTTCCAGGATTATGGAAATTGTTGCTGGATGAATTATGCAGGGAGGTCAATTTTATGATAATGGTAGTAATACCATAAAAAAGACAGCTGTGTGGGGCTTGTGCACTGTGGTTTCTTTTTTTTCTTCTTGTCCCTAGGTGTCTTTTTTTCTTTATCCAACACTCAGATAATGTTTGTTGGAGTTCATGATTTTTTTTCTCAACATAACACTCTTTTTTTCATTAGTGCTGTTCAGTTCCAAGGATCTTCTGCTACTCTGCATATGTTTCTAAATCTCATGCAATGTGACCTTAAATGAGGAGAACTTATAATGAAAAGTGCACAGGTGTTCAATCCATGTATAATACATGCACCCATTACAACCACAAACTGCTGTGTAGCTCTGCACAATCCTGCAAGAATTCCTGTGGATGCCCATGGTAAAATCTTTGCATTCTAGCAGCCCCTGTTCCTCCATCTATAAAAAGAGGGAAATAGAAAACTCCTACATCATGTGCTCATATGAATGAGTCACAGAAAGTTTGCCACTTGCCCCAGTCTTTCAAACAAAAAAAGCTATAAAGTTTTTTTCCCCTTTTTTTAATCACTCAAGAACAAAAGGTGTGACGGCTATTTCCACAAACTTAGTGGAAAAACTTTATAAAACTTTGATTGAAAAGAAAAAAAGGAAAGAAAGGAAAGGAAAGTAAGTTACACTGGATAATAAGCGTTTCCTGTGGTGCATGATAAAGACATGGGTGGGAGAAGGGGTTACAAAGAAAGACAACAGCCACTCAACTCCAGTCTCCCCTCTCGCTCCCCCCAACTCTGCTAATGAGGCGATCCAGAGCACAGGCTGCCAAATACCTCTCTTCCACCGCCTCCCTAAAAATCCACCCCCGCTCCTTATAGCCAAGGAGAGAACCCAGGAGTCCTGGCGTCCAGCCACCTCTGAAGTCACAACTAACATTACCACAACCGGTTTGTTGTCGTGGGGCGGGGAAGAAAAGCATAGGGATATCAGTTTTCTGGCTCGATTCCGGGGGGAAAGCAATTTCCCATCCCCAGTGGCGTTGGGGGAGCAGACAGAGTGCGCGGCACGACGCGAAGCACGCCGAGGACAGCTCCGCGGCGGCGCAGTCTGCCTGGGAGAAAAGCAGCGACATGGCAACATAAGCCGCTTCCCAGTTATAAATAGAGACCCCGAGAGATGGAGAGCACAAGGATAAAGGTCCGTAAATACCAGCGCTTGGGGCCACATAGGAAGGCGGCGGACGGTGTGCCGCTCCAAATCCGTGCCCTTTTCAGTTACGGGAACCCTTGGCGCTCGGGCAAGTGTTGCTTTCTCCCCACCCACTCACGCCTGCCTCCCCCCTGCCCCGCCGCTCCATTCCCAGCACACACCCTCCAGCGTACATGTAAGTCTACTGAAATGCCATCTTCAAGAACAACAGGGAATTCCCCCCGCCACACTCCGCTCCATCCCTTTCACGCTTTGCAAGTTTGGGGCGGGGGGAGAGACGTGAGCAAAACTGGCAGTTCCTGCCTCTCCTCGCCCTTGTGGGAAAAGATACTGTCCCCCGTCAAAGAAGAAATAAAAACTGAGAATTGCACCGGGAGGGGGTGGAGAACAAGATTATTATTATTATTAGCATCATCATTATTAGTAGTATTCTTATTACTTTATTTCTTGCTGTTTGCCTCCAGATATGTGGGGGGCGGGGGGGAGGATCCGGTGTCCGTTCAAGTTATGGGGTTGCATCCCTAATTTCCTGAATTTCTTAGTTCATCTGCCTCGGTTTTAGAGACCACCACCACAAATTCCCTGGGTAGTCTTGGAATAGTCATTGTCTCTCACCCTCGAGTCTGTAGGCACAGAGAGAGCGAGACAGCGAGCGAGCTGTGAATATGGGGGCAGTTCCTAGATTCTTCTTCAGCAATGCGAATCAGAACTGGGATAAAGTTTCCTGGCACAAAAGTTTTGACCAGCCTGCTGACAGGAGGTGGCCGGAGAGCCAGCCACACTTGACCACCCTCTGCCTACTGGGAGGAGATGGGGCACAGTTACATTATTAGTGCCCAAGGGCACAGAAAGGAGAAAGAGTTCAGCGTTTAAGACCTGAACTACATATCCAAAAGAGATAAGCAGTTCTCTTGACTAAGACTGATGGGGGTCTTAGTCAGCAGAGATTCCCCAGGCAGAATCTCAGTCTTGGCTCAGTCCTGCTACCAAAGATGGTTTCAAATGAAGTTTCTGAGAACCATACTCAGGACTTTTTCTACAGCCAAAGTGCATCACTCACTGGGTGAGTCCCTGCTCCAAACCTTCTGCCCTATGACCAGTAATATTTATTGATTTAATAAATCAAGTAGGCAGCTGGGAAGATCTCCTGGACTCAGCACTTACTGGGAAAACCTGGGTGGCAGCTGAGGTTGGTATGCCACCTGCAACACTAACTGGAGGGGAGAGACTTGCTTCAAATGTTCATGCTCCAGGCTGGATTGTCTGAATGCAGTTTCTCTGCACTCCCTTTAAAACCAGTTCAGAAATGTCAACTGGTACATAATCCAACTGTTCAAGTCCTGGTAGACCTAGGTGGATTATAATGCCCATATGGTACCTGCCACATTGCCTGGTGCTGGCGTTAGTCTTCAAAACCATAAGCAATCTGTTTCTAGATTACTTGAACGAATGCTTTCACCTATACCAACCAGTCACGATTTGAGATCAACATCAGAAGCCCTGATTGTGTGTCTGCCTGATAAAACAATTATACCAGGGGCAATAGTTAAGGCTTTGATGGTGGTTCCCAGTTTCTGGAATTCTTCCAGGCCCCATATCTGCAGGCATTCAAGTGTGCCTGAGCCCTTATGTATTCACTGTGCGTGTAGTCAGGATTTTACTAGATACGATTATGTATGTGTGTTATCTGGTTTTAGCAGTTAATTTTAACATTGTATTATTGTCTTTATCATTGTTTTATTGTGTTTTATAGTTTAAAATTTTATATGCTGCCTTTGGTGACTTTTTCCTAAAAGGCAGTTATAAAATCTTTTAAATAAATGAATAGAAGCATATGCTTGTATTTTGATGAGCTGGTAGGGGAACACAACAAATATTTCCATTTTATGGCATAATGTATTCAAAGGAATGTGTTTCAGGATTTGTGAAAGAGCAGACATGTCTGAAATCCAATCTATGTTTCTAAAAAATTAAATCTTAGAATGAGCAGGGTTTCCCATATTGTAATACTCACTATTAGTAAAAATAAAAACATAAATTATCAGGCTGAAATAAAGCAGCAATGAGACCCCTTGCTAGCTACCAAGTCATCAATTCCAATGTTACGGAGCTTGGTTTTAGGCTATTGGCTTATGCATACCATTAACACTTTTCAAATGTGCTTCCTAAGCTAGCAGAGCTCCCTGCTACTAAAATGCAACACAGAACAGCCTTAAGAGCCCAAGGGATGTGGCAAACTGGCAGGATGATAAATAGCAAAAACTGACCCTGACGATGCAAAAAAATCAGAAACAGAACAAATAAAAAGGATGGAAAAGCACCCTAAGAAAGAGCACATTTTAGAAATCTATGGGCACTGGCTTTTTTCAATATTAATAGTACTCCTCGGCAATAAACTGGAGGAGGGAAACAAGCAAGAAGCACAACAGAATGATCTAAAAGGGTAAAATGTAGAAAGGTAATATGCAATTTCAGGGATGGAGAAAAATCTGCAAATGATTGAGCATGAACCTCCCAAAGTAAACTGAACATTTTGGGGAGATCTGCCTGGCTTTTTTGTTGTTCCACAAAGCATGCATTTTGCCCCTCTTATAGTGCTCACCCCGTTACTAATCTGGGAGGCAATAACATTTATCTTCTTACGTTTATCTTCTCCCCATCAATACGTTACAATTGTCTTGTGAAAGAGCCAGCACATGATAAAAAACACATCTTGAAATTATCTGGAGTGGAGGGTAGTAGGAGATTTTTTTTTCCCCTGAGTAACCCGTGATCTTCCTATACAGAAAGCCCTTTCAGACAAACATTTTAATATATGGAACTTGAGTGGAAAGTTGCCAAATGAGAACTCTTTCCTCTGACACTGCTCATGTGAAACGGTGCCTAGTGACAAGAGAGCAACTGCTTCTACCAAAACCAGGGTTGGGCCTACTGTTTGAAAAGACCATCTGAAACCTGAGTTGTATGAGGCTGAATTTTGCAAATTGGATATAAACTTCTTAACCAACAAAGTAATGGGCATGTATGGTCCTGTTTTGCATAATCCATTCTGCTTCCTCTTCACAAAATTACACAACACACTGAAACTCCACCCAGTGACCACTGGAAAACCCAGCCTCCCCAAACATCCCTCTGAGCTTTCATTGGGTATTTCCTCAGATACTTTCAAGTATACTTCAGCATCCCTAGAAACAAAAGATGTACTTTCACCTCAGACCAATAACTTTCTTCTGATGCTGAATTCTGTGTCCAGCATCACTTTTTAGCACAAAACAAGCACATCTCAAGAAATGATAGCTGACCAAATATGGCCATATCCCCAGAATAACATATCCCTAAAATAATACCAGTGGCAAGTTTCTTTAGCACGTGGGTTAAGGCTTCAACTGTGCTGTAGTGCTAAGATCCAGCTCATCACATCCATACCCACAACCTAAAGGCTAGCTTTGATTACTCCACACCCCATCTCATTGCGCTATTTGAAGCCAACCAAGCGAAGCAGTGCCTGGAGATGCAAATAGAGACATCTTGGCCAGTGGCAGGAAGGCGATTTAAAGAGAGAAAGAGAAAACAGCTGGGTAGAGGACTCACTCTCCCTCCCCCCTCCACCCCACTCTAGCTTTCAGGCCTAGCTATCATTAGGTTTAAAGTCTTTATCTTCAAGCTTAATCTTCCCCAGATTGGGAGATTAACTGGACTGTATTTGCAACCAAACTGATGAAGCTGGGAGGCAAGAGTATGTTAGAAAATGTTTGCTCTGAAGATAAATGGGGAGAAGGCATCCCTGGCATAATATGCAGAGCTGGAGGGGGGTGACTTTCAGGAACAGTCAGTCATACCCCTTCCAACTTCCATATTGCGGCAGCAGTTCTGTCGGAAGCAGAACACACAGACTCCTGCACACATATGCTCCCAACTCCAACAGAATTGGCCAGACAAGACTTGCGTTACATCAAGGATGGAGGGAAGTTAACCTGGGGAAGCGGTCTGGGTGAGATATGGTGCAAACTAGTCTTCATTGTAGCAGGATGGAAGAAAGTCACTTCTTCCAACCCTGAAATACATTTAGGAATTAACTATTATTACTTACAGAAAAGAGTTGCCTCTTTCTCTCGGGTGCATACGCTCAGGAAATACTTCCTCAAACATACAAAATTAAAATAGTACCAACCCTCAAGAGGGAAATCCCAATGCCAACTACAGATCTCAAAGGCATATATGCAGTTTTGTGAGTTCACATCCTCTCCTACTTGATCCCCCACCCCCACTTCAGCTTTGAAGGCATTAAAAAAAGATCTTAAACAGAATAGATTCAAACAGAAAGCACGAGAGAGAGCGCCCAAATAATACTTTAGACTTCCTTTTTGAAGAAAACTAAGAAAAAAGAAAATAAAATCAGGGACCTAGCAGTAAATAACCTGGAGGAGGATGTTGTCCCCAAAAGTTATTAGCTATTAAGATCATTTCCCCAATTGTTAACTAATGCATTTTTGTGGAATCATGGCATTTTTTGCAGAATAATGTGATAAATATCAATGCTATTGCATTCCCAATCACCATGAATGGCTGTGAAAGCTAAACAGTCAAGAAAGATGCAGGAAGAAAATTGATGTGTTTGAAACATGGTGCTGGAGGAGAGTTTTGCAAATGCCCTGGACTGACAGAAAGACAAACATGTGGGCCCTAGATCAAATCAAACCAGAGTTTTTCCTAGTAGCAAAAATGACAAATCTGAGGCTGTCATACTTTGGACACATCGTAAGAAGGCAAAACACCTTCTAGAAGACAATCATTTTAAGGAAAGTCAAAGACAGAAAAAAGCCACCACCTTGAATTCAGAGGAGCTGAACAAGCCCATCATGGACATTTTGGAGAGCTTTCATGGATAGGGTTGCCATAAATCCCACTTGATGGCACAGAACAAGAAAAATGAGACAGCTGGCCTGCTGGTCTAATCAACTGCCCTTATTTAGGTGGAATCAGAAATATTTCCTCCAGCCTGCCCAATTAAGACTGGTTACTGAAGTTTGGGGCTATTTTTGTTATTCTGCTCACACTCTGCTCAGTGGCATGTTGCTTGGCGCACTTGTATGAGTTGCCTGGAGTTATCCAATCTCCAGTTTCGATGTTCTATACACCAAAATGCACCCCCATCAACTCTTTCCCCATCAACTCTTTATTTTGTGACAAAATTACATATCTTAGCACAGACAGGGAGTAGCCTTAGAAAGAAGAGTTAGGCATGATATAAATAAATAATATAATAACAATGGCCTTCTGGCTCCATCGCATCGCATCAGTTCTGTGAAAGGTGCAAACTGGGCACAACTCTTGCAACATTCCACATTGTCTCAGGCCTCCCCCAGGTGCGTGAGGAGTAGAGTTTACTTCTTCCTATCTAAAGGTCACACTGGCCAAGCAATGGAAGGAGAAAGCGCAGAGAAGAGCTGCTCAGCTCCATAACCATGTCAAGCTACATTAGGATATTGAACCTGCATCCCCTTAGGTGAGAAGCAATGGCAAGGAAGGGCACCTGTCTGGACTCTTCTGTGCTCCTCCCCTGCCGTGCTTGGAGCAAAGATCTGTCCAACCGGCTTGCCATATTCTCATGCGAGCACGCAACTGCTACTTTACAAGAGCAGGAAGAGACAGGGCAAGATACCACCCTGAAGGCCATTTAAAAAATAACAACAACATTCCTTATATTTGCCAAATGCCAGCCATATTCCTCAGATACCCTGGATCAGGCAGTTTCCCATCAATGGGGATGGAATCTCTTTTTGGTTTGCGAGAATTCACTAACCATAACCAGAAGAGGACCTCATCAAGAAATTATGCTTCTATTCATAAAAACGTATGTTCAAGTTCAATTACAGCAAGCAAAGTGAGAACCCCTTTTGCATTTCTAGCCCCACTACTCACTTATAGTAGTACAGCGATCAACATGTAAGCCTACCAAAACCACCATCTTGAAATAAGAATCAGTCCAGATTGCCACTTACAAAGCTATGACATTTCGGAAGAACACATATTCAGTGAATGAAGACCGGCTATATATCAATCATAACAAAAGTCCAAAAGTCAGTTTTTCTAATATCTGCACCCTTTCCCCTTAGTATCTAGATAAATACTTATGGGTGAAATGGGGAATTTGAGAGTGGTCACAAATTGTCAGGTAAATTTCAACCAACCCTTACAACATCTTTCTGTTCCTTGCCCTTTAAATACAATTTCTCAAAATTCTTGTCCCACCCATACCCATCTTTTAATAAAAAGGAATTAGCAGATGCAGGGGGTGAGCTTTGTTGCAGATGAACAAAGGAACAAACACTGAATCAAGAATTGTATTAATGTTCACCCCATGGTTTTATTGTGTATTTTTATGATTATATTTTATTTTAAATTGCTATTATTATTGTTGTTTTAATGTTACTGAACTTGAGCTTTTTATTATGAAATAAATGAGCAGGATACAAATCCTAAAATGAAAATAATATGTGGCGTTAACTAAAGAAAAAAGATGGCAATGCACCCACACCAGGAAAAAAAGGATCCCGTAAAAAAATGCCTATGATGATCCATGTCAGATGTTTTTCTACCAAGCGCTGTCAGCAAAGTACCGCAGAAGGTCTACAGACAGCAAAGCCCCACAGCAAAAACCATCCTTACCAAACCAGTCTCTAGCCAACTGTCTTAAATGCCCCACCACTGAAACTCTTCTGCCTATTATGGTTAGTACAGCAGATTCTAGCCCTTTGGCTTAGACAATATTGTGGCAAAGAGTTCTATAAGTGTATGATGTACTTGTAACTGCTTCAGCGCACATACTCTGTTAAAACTCCAGCAGCTGCCAGTCCCAATCAAACATGAATTTCCACAAAGCATACCATAGCAACGCCCTCAAAATTTGTATAACAAATGCCTGGCACACACACGCACACACACACGCACACACCACAAACCGGTAGTCCAATTTTCCCGAGGAAACTCAAGTTCCCTTTTTAAAAGAAAAAACTCTCAAATGACGAGAATCAACCCTCAGTTTTGACGCAAGGTTTCCTGATGTCACCCACATGCTGCAGTTTCATTCCCTTAAACAGAAATGCCTATCGGCAGTCTCACAGGGCCATGGGGGCAATGGAGAGAGATAACAGAAACCCAGCCTGGCTGTTTTTTTGGGTTTTTTCAGATACGCTGACAACCCCTGAAGTGGGCATGGTGAACAGCTCCTAACAGAGAAAAAAGTGAGTTTGGACAACTTAGAGGGAATCTTAAACTCAAAGCAGGTATCAATGCTTTTACCTTATGATCCACACAGCGCTCAGGTACCCTCTAGCTCCTGCCAAACCAATTTCAGTCCTAGCACTACAGTTCCAATGATCCAGGACTGTGAGAAACTGGTCGAAGGACTAACAAAATACATACCATGAGAGCCAAAATGAAGCAGAAAAACCCTAAAGACCTCCCCAGAGAGGTCCGCCTGGCACCGTCGTTATTTGTTTTTCGGCGCCAGGCGAAGACCTTTTTATTTAAGCAGTATTTTAAATGTTAATATTATTGAATTTTATTTGGCCAGGGCGGCTTGTTTTATAGTGTATGTTTTATATTATATATTTGTATTTTATTGTATATATTTTAAAATGTTATTTTAATTTTTTGTTGTAAGCCGCCCCGAGGCTTCGGCGAATGGGGCGGCATAAAAATGTTTTAATAAATAATAAATAAATAAATGCAAATGCTCCACAGTGCATTTAGAAGTGAATTGTCTCAATGAAACATACACTGATAATATTACTAAGAAAGTGCTCAAGTATCTTCCTTGCACTCACCCCAAAAGGAACTAATGGGTTTACTTCTCGGGAAGCATTGGATGCATTTTTTCTGATATTCCTGTAATGTTAAAAGGGTCGATTTCTATCGCCCTGTGGCTCTCCACACACATAGTGCCACTGTGCTTCAGCTCCAGCTGCAACCCTGTTTATACCATCCTCATCGCTCAGTTGTCATCCCATCCGTACCTAGAGGCTAGGGTCAAACCTTCCCAGGGCACAAACGGCAACTTTTTAACGTTCATACAGAGTGTGGGGCTTATTTAGGCTACCAGAAAATGTAAGATTCTGCAGCCAGAAAAGCCAAATACTGTGCCAAGAAAAGCTTATCAACTGAGTTCTATATAAATGCATATATTTGCTCAATTCCGCAATATTTACACTGACTTTGCCAATCACGGGGAGGGGCAATATACTATGCAGGACACTGAAACTCTATCCCTGATCACTGGAAATTTTATACAACCTTCCTTCCAACTTCTGATATTTCAATAAGCATATCTTTGCAGCCTTAAGGGCTAGAAACTTGCTTTAAAAAGATTAAAAACAAGTTAATGGAACTATTAACTTGGGGAATATGGAATACGCTCCCCAGGGAGGTTCACCTGGTGCGGTCGCTTTATTCCTTTCGGCACCAGGTGAAGACCTTTTTATTTTTCCAGTATTTTAATAATTAATCTGGTTTTATTCTTGTTTTTATTACTTTTTTAGATGCAGTTTACTTTTTACTTTTTCTTCTTTTTTTTTTAAGATGTGTGTTGTCGTTGTTATGGGTACTGTTTTTTTGGTTCACTCTCTGTAAGCCGCCCAGACTTTTTTTAGTAATTGGGACAGCATACAAAAACCTTAAAATAAAATAAAAGGAAGGATTTTGGGTTGGTGGAGATCAGTACTTGTGCTATGCAATAGTGCAACCTATACAATCTCAACTCTGATGCCACTAAACCAAATTGATAAGCAGCAAGCAAGCAAGAAAGCAAGCCACAGTTGTTTCCTTTTGAGTAGAGTACCTCAGCAACTACTCTGGCTGCCATCCTCTATGCCAGGGGTCCTCAAACTTTTTCGACAGGGGGCCAGTTGAAAGGTGGTGGTTACACGCGCAGGCCGGTGAGGTGGGGGTGCCTGGGGGTGCGGGCCGGTGAGGTGCCGTCGGGCGCGCACGAGGCGGCATCAGGCACGCACGGTGGCGGCTTGCTTGCTCAGAGACCATCTCCGATCGAGTGAGCCACCACTTCCCCGCAAGCGCAGGCGGAGAACAGCAGCGCGGGCTAGATGGATGGCCATGGCAGGCCGGATCCGTCCCACAGGCCGTAGTTTGAGGACCCATGCTCTATGCAATTACCTGCGGGGCAGGTTTAATTGAATTCAATGGGGCTTACTTTTGAGTTAGACATACATGACTGCACTTCAAGAGCACTAAGTAAACTGTAAGCTGTTGTGGGTCCCACTATCCCCTTTCTTCCTCCATCATCGAAGATAACACATTTAAGTAACCTATCCTACCATAATTCTAAACACTCAAAATCAATTGGCATTAAGTTCTGGTCTGATAAAAAGAAATATTTTGCTACATGTGATTATGATGTAGAATCCACTACCATACAAGGTGTAGCTCTGACCAGCTTCTTAGATAGCTATTACCCCTTTTAACTAAAAGAAAACTCCAGGAACCAAGACAGAACGCCTCTCAATGCCAGCTCTTAGAGACAAACCAAGGAACACCCTTGTCTAAAGACCCTGCTTTAGGTATCCTTGCTGAACAAGCTGGGTCTCGATCCAATCCATTGAGACAGGTTTACCCACCCTGACACTCAGCAGATATGTTGGACTACAATACCCATCATGCCTCTCCAGTATTACACTTTTATTCTGGCACACAATTACATGGAATATAGCCCATTTCAGCAATACACAGTCTGTATGTGGTGGTGATGGGGATTTTAAACAGTGAGGTTAGGAGGAAATGAAATGCAGAAAGAAGAGATGATGACAACCAGAGAATTAACAGTCTCCAATCACATTATTTAACTTTTTTTCAGATGCTACAAGATGCTTTGCTGTTCGTTCTGCTGTCGACTAGCACAACTACCCTTTGAACATGGCTCCAAAATATGACCATCGGTGGTTCCTGCAAGAAAGCTGCCTCCTACCCTACAGTCTCTCCCCAATGAATTCCTAGAAACAAATCAATATAACTGCATATACACAGTCGCAACGAGCTGTAAAAGTCTCAGGGGGAACTCAGGCTGGAAAGAACATTAATCTCCAGGCAGGGCTCTTGTGCCAGGTGGCCAGCAGGGGAGCCACAATGCTGGGCGTACAAGGGAGAAGCCTCCAAATGAAGATGGGATGGAAGAGGAGAGGAAGCCGTTTCCGAGACTGAAGCATCCCTGCACACCAACATTTGTTTGGTTCATTTTTTAAAGTTGAGCAGAAAAAAGCAGATGAGGTTCTGCAGTAAATCTTATTTAAACAAAAAAGAGTTTTTAAAATATGAGTTAAAAATAAGAGTAAACCAAAACAACTTGGTTTCTCCTGCAAAGCAGTTAAATCATTTGACTCAATAAAGCTTAGGAGCAAAGCATTTCAGTTCATATAATCTATAATATAACTACTTTCTTAGATCAAGAGATACCAAAGTGCTTTGTCCACTGAAGATTTTTTCTTTTGCTTTGAGACAGGATTTTATTCTGAAATAAAGTTAAAAATACAGGCAACAAAAAGGAAGAAAACAAAGAACAGTGCAAGGTAACTATGTGACACAGGAAACCCACTGATTACTCAGCAAATCTTTTTCTTTTAATCAAAGCATAAGGCAGTTCATACACATTAGTACATTATTATATTTGGCAAGAATTTTGAGACTTCAGTACTCTTCTCCCCATTTATTATTTGGGTGACCGTGATAAGGGACAAGACATACAGTGCTAGGACTTCAGCCAAGGTTATCTGGGGACAAGCGTCTTGCTCCTGTGCTTGTGGTGTGTGCAGGAGAGCGCTCTCTTCTCATTTCAGCCAGGGGATTCTCACAGTTCCCTTTCAGAACCCAGAGCAGAGGGGAAGTTTTCTTCTCAAGAATCAGGAAGCCTGCACTTGGGGGAAGGAGCGGTTAGGAATACCCTGCTCAGAAGTGACAGAGCTTTGCTGGTCAGGGATGCAATCCAAAGCAAATGGCAAGGGTTCCCCAAGACCCCCATGTCTCACTCTTTCTGCCTTTCTGGAGATGATGGGAGTTGCACTCCAACACAGTTTAACCATAGAGACTTTTGCAATAGCACAAGTTTGTCCAAGGCACAGTCAAATTATATGTAAGCTCACATTAATGCCTACTTTGCAGAGTATCCAAAGTCTTTGGAGATGGCTCAGGGGACTCCAATCATGCATTCTTCCCCTCCACCATCCAGTAAGGAATGCCTTGGCCATGTTGCCCAAGTCCTCCACTGCAAGCCAGAGCAAACCCAAGGTGCATTCAGCCTGGATCTAGTTTTCAGCACATCTCCACTAGTTCACAAACATGTGCCACATGTCAGATTAAAAATAGGACATGCTCCTAAACCCAGGCTCAAGGGCCTGGGCAGAAACGTCTGTTACATTAGTGCAAATGATAGGTTTTTCTCAACACTACTACATACAAAAACTGATGACACACAACATCGAACACTTTAAGATTCAAACTAATAGTAAAGGGTCATGAGTTTTATTGCACCCAAAGACCTGAGAAGTGCAACCCTTTTAAACTCCCTTCCTGCCCATCAGTCCTGAAAGCGCCAGACAGGTAACTAGCTAAGCATTGGGAAAGGACCCAGTTAAAGAGACGGTGATGTCAGAACTTGGCTATTCTTAGCTTGCCTCTTGTGCAAAAAGCTGAAGATGCTGACCTTCAGCCCGAGTTCCCAATGCCATCCATTTTTTCTTGCCCACTCTCTCCCTCTTTCAAGAGTGCTTTCAGAGGGCTCAGGCCAGATCCATCAGACATGCTTTAGTTACAGCTCTGATTCAAAGAGATTCAAGAAAATTGTGTGCGTTTTTTCCTAACTAAAGGAGGGCTGGGTAGGCTTTCTATAACTGAAAAAAGAACCCAGGACTCTTAGACCCACTGAAAGGACTGTATAATCCCACCTGCCAATAAATCCAGTGCTGTTATTCAGCTGTTGTTCTCACCCAGGTAAGTGGCATCCCAGTTCACACATTACTACCAACCGTACCCCAAAAGGGGATGAACCAAACTGCAGAAACTTCCCCCCAATTCCCTCATCCTCTCTGACTCTATGGCTGTGTGAAACAACCCACAAAGTATGACTCACCTGTCTTGGCCTCCACTGAACTACTTAACACTTGGGGTGGCACTGAATAGGTTGTGGAGTTCAGGCCACTGAAAACACTAGTGACTAAGTGGCAACCTACTTAAAGCTCAGCAAGGATCAGACCATGCTGCTGCTCTTCCTGTCTTTTGCTTAACCCATGGCTCAAACCAGCTCCCTGAGTGTACACGGCAATATCACTCCCCCCCCCCCCGGTCCCTTTTGGAAACCATCAGTTGACAGCTGCAAAAGTAATCAGCTGTCTTTGGTTATTTTTCCCCCCAGAAAGGGAAGTAATGGGTTGTTCTCCACACTGAAATGGTTAACGTAGTTCAAAACCCTCCCACATTCCCAGTTCTGCAACAATATCTAGAGAAAGCAAGTTTTGCACTTGATGAAGGCAGCAAGACAGAAAACCTAAGGGGCAGCAGAATTCTGCTCTGGGAGTGGATGGAGCAGAGGTGAGTGAATGAGCGGTGTGCCCAATGTAGAAGGCAGAGCACAAATAATTTAAAAGATACAAGTAATCTGGGTTCATTCCACAGCTATGAGAGAGCAGTGACACCAAATGGCTTCCAACACCACGAAGGCAGGAGGTGGAATGGCTTGAACCAACTGGCTTGAACCAGCTCTTTGGAATGGCTTGAACCAACTGGTTTTCACTTACCACCATATAAGCCAGCTTCCCTCCTCCAGAAAGAAACAAACAAGATACTTTGGGAGTTCTCCAGTTTTAAAATAAGCACATCGAATGCATCTAGTTCAAATGCCATTATGAAAGGGCAACACCACTATTTATTATTACATTGTATTTATATCTCATCTATTTCCTCTTTGAAAGGAACCCAAGCAGGGTTACCTAGCTCCATTTTATCCTCACAATAACAACAACCCTGCAAGGTAGGTGAGGATGAGTGAAAGTGACTGGCCCAAAGTCATCCAGTGAGCTCCTTGGCTGAGTGGGGGCTAGAATATGGATCACCCAGGACCCCAGTCTCACATGCTACACACCACACCACCTTTCCCTAACACACATGTTGAAGATGATGCTTAACAAAGCAAATACCAGAACATGCCAGGCAGAGGGAGAAAGCTGCAAACGGCAGTATAGAGACTCCTTTTCAATGTACAGACAGCCTGTGTACCGACACACAAGGTTACCAATGTGTTTTGCTATTCAAATTGTCCACCAAACAAGCAGCAACAGTGGTCAGCATCTTGGGCTAATCAAGACGGCGTGGCTATGAGATGGTATATAAAAGTGCTAAATAAATAAAATTAAGAAACAGATAGAGGGTGCTGTTGCACTTATGTGCCACGTGTTTGCCTCCAGAGGGCGGGCGGTTGGCCACTGCAGGAACCAAGTGTTGCACTAGCTGGACTCTTGGTGTGATCCAGCATAGCTTTACTCACGTTCTCAGGCCAGAAAAGGAATACAGAACAAAAGCCAGTATTCATCCAGAAAGCCAGCGTGGTGTAGTGGTGAAGAGCATGCGATGGAGACTCAGTTCTAGTCCCTGCTCAGCCATGGAACCAAAAGGGAGACTCTGGGCCAGTCACAGACTTTAAGCTCAACCTAGCTCACAGGGGTGGTGTTGTGGGGATAAGACAGAGAGCAGGAGGAGGAGAATGATGTAAGCTGCTTTGCATTTGTTGTAAGGAAAAATGTGGAATATAAATCTAATAAAGAAATAAATATCCTATGAAATTCCACAAGATGGATCCAGACCGGCACTCCTCAACTATAACTAAAATTAACAAACACCTACGATGTGTTTGGGTGAGGTATTGATCATTTGGTAGGGTGATGGTTTCTATACAGTTTTTCCTGCATTCAAAACAGTTTAAATGCCTCTCCCAAAGCTTAGGTACAAGCAGTAGGAACTTTCAGCTAAAATAGGCTAATATTTTTGGAATTTTGGCCCTGTGTCTTTTTGCCTTCAGTTCCCACCCACAACTGGAATGCAGTCCCGAGAGTGTCTCTGAAATGGACTTAAAGAGGTTCTGCACCCCAAGTGCGGTAGTTGTGGAGTCTACATTGTGTTGGACCCTTCAGATAACTACAAGGTAGGATCACTGTCAATCAATCACAAATCCATTTTCCACCCTCAAAGAGAATTCTCTGTTTACATGAGAAACACACACAGCCCAGATGCTTGTAGGGCTCAACCTGGCAGTCACAGTGAGCTCAGAGGTAAATTTTAGAGGTTTGAGAAACTATAAGAACTGCTACCAGCCAAGTCCCACAATCTGTTGACTCAGATTCACTGCTTATCATTTTCCCTGGGGGTAGGAAGGGGAGTCCTGCATAATGTGTGAATGGGGTTTCAATGAAGTTCTCCTTTTCATAGCATGAAAAGAAGACTGCTGTAAGCTCTAGGGGAAATCACATACACAGTTGCCCAAACTCATCTTAAGGAAACTGATGTCATGATGTTTCAGTACACAAACCTCTCATGCTTTGGAGGAAGGGCTACATGTATTATGAAACTCAAGCCTTCAGTCATTTCACTAAAGCTCATCCATACCACCAGAACCCCCAGTCAGTCCACAGAGACAACTCTGAGAAATCCTGGGTAACTGAATAAAGGTACTGTCTGTGGGTTAATCAACCCATGAGTTGGGGGTATGCATTGCTATACCTGAGCTGCTTCCTGTTTTCAGTAACAAACTTTAAATTCTGCATTCACATCTTTGAATCCTGTTACCATGATGTCAGAACCTGGGAACTGAGGTTCTTTATAGATTAAACAACCTCAGGTTAGTCCATGGTTACCATGACATTCAAACAGGGTCACTGAGTCAGACCACAAGACCATCTCCCCAGTACTGTTGACTATGACAACACCTTTTCCAAGGTCTCAGATAGAAATTTCTCTTACCCTTCCTGGAGATGTTGGAGATCTAACTGCATGCACTGAGAGTACTTTTCACTGACCTAGAGCCCATCCCTAAAGGAGAAGCCTATGGAGAAAGCCTGGCCAGATGATATAAAGCACGTGCAGACTAATAAAGGACTAAGTGCCTTCTACACCAGCTTTGCTTGGCCACTTTCTAAGTTGTGCAGACAGTGGTGGATTGCATTCTACAACATCTGGAGGACTCCAGGTCAAGCAAGGCCAATTATTCCCCTTTAAACCAGCCAATTCATTGGACACAGAGCATCCTCATCCCAGACTGAATTTTCTTTCATCTTCTTGAAAGAAAAGCCTAATTCTAAACATCCCCCCACCTTACCAGTCCTGCCTCTCAGCTTCTTTCTCAGGCCCTCTGCCTGCTCCTT